AATCTCAAGTGCAATCACATTTTATTATTGTCTATAAATCATCTAATATCTAATACTGAGTAATTTAGTCCTGTCAAGTTAATAAGAAATTTAACTTCAGTTATTTCTTGGCTTTTCCTATCTCCAGGTTTATGCTGGAACTTTAGGGTCTTACTCTAGATCCAAGCATTAGAACACTGATCGTTAGAGGTAACTGTCTACATTGGGAAATACTGGATTTTGCTACAACCACATGATACCATCAAAATTACCCTTGTACCAATTTCCATGCCATGCTTTATGCTTTAAATGAGGTTCTTTAACAAGGCTGGGATCCAAATCTTCACATCTAACCTACCTAGTTTACCATGTGGATATTTCCCTTGAAGTCCTGCCATACTGTTGCTCTTTTCCAGTGAAGAAGTAAAAGTCTTATTCATTCAAGGACCTGTAGACCTGGAGAAAGCTCTTTTTCTATTTAAAAACCTTCTACCACTCTTGGCTTCACATAGAGATACCAATTTCCTCTCTCTTCACATTTTATTATCCTCAGTGGGTAAACAGAGCCAGAAAATCCTGCCAAAACCTTTCATGTGGCAAGAAAGTATGGAACTTGTTATCTGCTCTACTGGAAGACAGAAAAGGAGAAAAATTCAAGAAGAAAATTAACATCTCAAAATTCCAATTAACTTCTCAAGAAAAAATTTATTTATTTTAGCATAGTATCTGTCTAACATCTTCCTTCTGCCTGCAAAGCTTTATTTCGGGATTTCATTGTCTCAAACCAGGTGGCCTAGTTTTCCTACTTTCCAGTTTTCTCTTTCAACATGCTAGCTTAGGTACATTCTTATGTTTTAAGTTCACTTATTTATCTTGAAAGAGAGAGAAAAAAACAGCAAGAGAGAGGGAAGGGCACTCCCAACAGGGTCATCACACTGTGATCCACCCCAAGTCTCTGTCAGTCTGGATCACAAACACACAGGCCCAGCATGCTCAGGGAAGTCCCAAGAACTGAATTCAGGATCTTTCTCATGTGAGACTAGTTGCGTTTCCACTGTACTATCACCTGGTCCCTAGCTTGGATACATTTCTGTCCTTCCTATCTAATTTCTCCTTGTCCAACAAAGATAACTGCTTAAGTAGGTAACTGCCTAAATAGCATAATGTAATGGATACTTGGAAGGCAATTCCCTATTCAGAGATGCTCATTTCTCTGTTACTGATGACGTTGATTCTACCACTAGATAAACCAATGCTTTGGATTAAGGGATAGCTACAAGGTACATAAAAGTTATCCAGAGATTCAACTACTCATCCAACAAATACTTATTTATGACATATGACTTATTTATGACTGCTAGGCACAATAAATAACTAAACATGGTCCCTCCTTTTGTGAAGTTAGTCTATTCATGAAAAGAGACATGAAAGTGCCGGGGTACAAAGAATGTATGTCTTTCTAAAATGATTATACAATTACAATGATAAGAGTTATGAAAGGAAAATGGAGGTGTGTAACAGGAACTTTGTGGAGAGAGCAACATTTAGGGACTAAAATTAAAAAGAAGTGAAGGGGTCAGCAGGTGGCTTGGTGGTTAAGGGCGCTGGACTCCCACATGGCCAACTGTGGTTTGAGTCCCAGAGGACCTGGTGGCTTGCTTTCTCATTTTCGCTCTTTCTTCCTCTCTCTCTGTCCCTCTCTGGTCAAATCAAAATAAATAAATAAATAAAGTTAAATAAAATAATTTTAAAAAAGAAAAAGAAAGCAAAAAGGAGGAAAGAGATTTTTTAAAAATTAATTTATGTCTTTCATGAGAGACAGAGTCAAAAGGAAAGAGACAGGCAGGCAGGCAGATAGACAGCACTCTCAATAAGGTCTTGATACCACAATCCACCCCTTCTTCAGTTGGCCCTGATCATGAGCACACACGTGCCAGTGTACTCAGAGAAGTCTCTGGGTACAAGAGAGCTAGTGTCTTCTGATTGTATAGAATTACTAGTGCCTTCTAATTGTATAGAATTCTACATGGAATACTAGGTGTGTCAGTATTACAGAATATCGGGTTTTACTGCTATTTCACTGTCCAGCCCCAGGAGAGGGGAACTTCAAAGCAGAACAAAGAACATGTCTGGAAGCCTTGAACTAGACAGAGCGTTGTTTAGAATTAAAAACAAACAAACAAACACAACTGAAGAACCAGGTGGTCAAACCACAGGAGTAGAAGAGAATGCCTCTCCAGATGACCAAGGACTAGAATATAAAGAGTTGCATAACCTCTAGCAAGTTTTTTTTATTTTTTTTTGTTTTTTGTTTTTTTGTTTTTTTTGTTTTTAGCAAAAAACACCCAAGAGTTTTAAGCAGAAGAACAAATGATCAGGTTTCTATTTAAGAATTCCAGCTGCTGTGTGGAGGAAGGTAAAGATTGAATATAGAAAGCATTATGCTATTATCAGCTATTAGCATCTAGTCTCTCAAATTCTTTCCAACTAGCTGTTGGTAGAAGAATGTGACAATTAAAGTCCTCAGACTGAGATGCCTTACAGATCCACATCCTCACCAAATTGAAACTTTCTCTATACACTGCTCTTCTCCTTTGTTCATACCACTTTTCTTAAAGTCTACCTAGCGTGTCAGTTCCATGCCCTGAATCTCCATTCTCCTCTCTGGATTTTGGGCATGCATATGCACATACCCAGCAGATACACCCAGGTATAGGATTCTTAACAGTGCAGTCAGTCATGTCGTAGCTGCCTTAACCACTACACCACTGGTTGGCCAACTAGCATCACTTACTTCAATTATTCTAACATTCTACTGAGGCATCTTCCTTTTTGATGAAAAATTGTTCCCCTCCAATACCTCAGTTCATGCTGCAACAAGAAAGATCTTTCTAAACCAAAAATTTTGCTGCATCATTTCCCTGCATACAACCCTTCGGTAGTCTTACATTTCTCATAGACACAATGCAAACTTTTCATGTTATTCAAGGCCAATGCTAACTAGACTCAATTCACCTTTTCAATCTTGTTTCACTCCCTTGCACTTTAAGCTCTAGTCACTCTTAATTTATTGAGAAACTTCATTAGGAGCTTGACCAGCTGGGGTGTGTACCTTATTGTAGCACATTAGCAATATCAGGCTTGCTAACTTGGGTTTCCAGCTCCTTGTTTAACAAGCAAAATTTACATTGGTGGTGCTACTGGTAAAGGAGTCAGCACCAATGAATGTAAATAAAAAATATTTTCCTCATTCCCCAAATATACTGCCTTATTAAGTATTTCTGCAAAACACATTTAAAATAACAGCTGAAAGTTGGAAATAAGCTCAATTTCTAAAGCAAGATAATATGTGGCACAATGATATTTATCATGGATGAATCATTTATTTTATTATCTAAATTTTGCACTATTAACACATCTTCCAAGAAGTTCTCTGGTTCAAAACACACATAAACTGAAGAAAGAAGAAAATGAAGAACATTTCACTGAAAAAATGCCACAACATCCACTCTGCTTTGACCCAACTGAAGTGAATTACTAAGTGAATGTGTTTGCATATAATTTTTCTTAATAGAAAAATCAGTTTCTCCCTGGCCCCAAGAAATAAATATTGAACAAATGGTTTTTAAAATATCCATTTTAAGGGGTGACAAGATGTTAGCTTGCCTTAAGGCCCTTGTTCTCAGCACGCTCAAGCAAACCCCTGTGCTTTTCCATATGCTCTTCCTTCCTCTTGAAATAAGTTTGACTTCCTCTTGCTGTTGCCTACCCTGCTTCAACAATGCTTGACCTACTTCTAAGATAAGTTCTTTTTTATAATTTTCTCTCTTCCTATACTTCTATCCTACTATTGTATATCTGTTCTTTTATTATGTATTTGTCTATTTTTTAAAGAAATATTTATTAAATTTTATTTATCTATTTATTTATTTATTTATTGTTATTATTATTTTAATCTGACCAGACACACACACACACACACACACAGAAAGAGAGAGAGAGAGAGAAGAGAGAGAGAAAGAGAGAGAAAGTGAGAAAGCAAGCTGCTAGGTCCAGTGCTCAAACTGTGGTTAGTCATGTGGGAGCCCAGCACCTCAACCACCACACCACCTGCTGGTCTTTTTATCTGCTCTACTTTTGGTTAAGAGATTTTTTTTCTACAGGGCAGATGCACTCACCAGAGAGACAGAAGGAGAGAAATCGCCCCCCTCCCCGGGGGATGGTCATTCCACAATCCCTTTTCCTCCATTCACCTCTTGGGATTTTGGGCACACAAGCACATGTACCTGGTGTGAATTTTAAGTTGCTGGATCTGGGACTCGAACTACAGTTGACTACATGGGAGTCCAGCAACGTAAATATTACACCATCAACTGATTGCTATTTGCTCTATTTTACTGAGTGTCTGTTCTGAAACTTCTGAGGCAGGAAATTTCACCTTTGTTAACTTATAAGTCTCAAGTACTAAGGCAGTGCCTAGAACATAGAATGTCCTCAATAAATATTAGAAGAATAAATGAGTGAATAAATGCACAAGTTCTAGAGGACCCTATGTCAGAGCTCTCTGATTTCCAGCTTGAACTGCCAAGCATTCTACTTACCATTAATACCAGATCCAACTCTAGCCAATGCCATACATACTCCAGCACAAACTTTTCATCAATAGCTACAGAAAAAGTAAATACTAAGGCAATAAACACCCTGAATTAATTATCTGTTTACAATTTTGTTTTTGGATAATCCTCCCTGACCCTTCATAGGGAACTCCCCAAGCATCGGCAAAACAGTTCAGTTAATGAAGTCCCGGTTATGCAGTTCCCAAAGGGCTATTCCTGGCAAAATTCCAATGAATTCAAAGCTGTAAAGAATGTCAGGCCAATGTAGGTGCCTAAGGAAATTGTTGTAGTACTTTGAAATAGGTAAACTTTTCTCCTGACTGGCACAAACATTCCACAGTTACACTCCGCAGTTGTGACAAGTGTTTATTATATGCCAGGCATTGTATTATCTCCTACAAGCACCATTTCAAAAACACAGAAATCTTACAAAGTAGGTGCAAGTACATTACATCCATCTCAAATATGAGAAAACGGAGGCCCAGATGTCTAAGACATGGTGGTCTGAATAATGGTTCATCCTCTGAGGTTCATATTTTAGAATTTGGTCTTAGTGACTGGTGATTGTGTGAGCCCAAGGAATTCATGCATTGAGATGTGATTGTATCGTAAAAGTGTTAAATGAAAACTTGATCCCTTTATGGTGTCTCAGGGTGGATCCTATGGGCATGATAAAGTCATTAGGGTGGGGCCCCCAGGCTTGAGTTCTGGTGCCTGCAAAAAATGAAATGAGGCATGCGTAAGTCATATGGATTCAGACCAAGCTCCGCTCTACTAAAAGTTCTGCCTTCTACCATTTTGTGATGCCTTTGGACTTCCCAGGCACCAGAATCATGAGGCTTGCAAATAAAAGCTCTATTTTCTTTATAAACCACTCAGTCTCTGGTATTTCTGTTAGTAACACAGAAGTAGACTAAGACACAAGGACATCCAGTGAGGGACTGGCAGAGGTAAGAGTTCAAAATGGATCTGATTCCACTTACAGGTTCTTTTAATACAGCTTGCCTTTTCCAAAAATATCAACCTTAGATGAAATGCAAGTTCATTTCAAAAACACAAATTAATAAGAAGCATAATTAATCTTTCTGTTCTTCATGTTATAATTCGTCATCATGATTTTTTTTTCCTTTCAACCAGCTGTTGCATGCTCTACTTTTGTGTAAATAACATTTCTTTAAACAGAAAAAAATCTCATTCTGTCTATATTTAAAATTAATTAAGAATGATTAGAAAGTACTTAGGAAAGAAATCAAAGGAATGACTTTGAATGCATTCTCCCAAATATATGAAACACAATCACTAAAAAAGTTTACTTCCATTTTGAAAAAAATACACCCCTGAATGTCCAAATTATTATCATTCATAATAGTTTTATTTTAAAAAATATAATGTTATGGTTACACATAAATAGCTCAAAAATTATGAAGAATTTCTTAAAAAAAAAAGTAAGAATATTGATCAAAAATGTATTGAAAATAAATTTATAAGATGCTAGAAATAATACTGACTACCAGAAAGAAGTATGGTAGGGACAGAAGAGGAGGGAAAAAAGATAGTGACACAAACAAAATGAACCATGATTACCCTTTGTCCTGGAGACCTTGGAGAAGGATGCGGGTGCATGTGTACTTTGGGATGAGTAAGCATGAAACATTCCATGTTGACATGACAACCTGCCACAAGAGACAAAGTCAGTGAAGGTTATGTTGATAAAGCCAACATTTATTGAGCATTTGTATATGTCAGAGTCTATGCTGGTCTCTTTATATGGTTCTCTGTAGATTTAAAAAGAAGAGAGTTCAAAATAAATAAAAAAGACAGTTTGAGGAGATAAAAAAATGCTATCATTTTGGCCTGGTCTCTGTGGCTGAGAAGTAACATACCAGACTCCACAGCTAGAAGCCACATTTTGACCAAGGTTTGAGTATCCCTCCTGGGTGGCCTGAAAACATGCCAAGCATGTGCTCATGTGCCCAAGATCCTAGTGGGCTGGAAGACTGGGGGAAGGAGATTACAGCAGAGCCAAGGCCTGTGCAGGATAAAAATCTCTCTCAACTTTTCTCCGTCTTTCTCTCATATGCACATTCTCTATCATGACCTTTTTTTTTGAAGAGGTTTTTTGCTATAGGGCGTGTGCACTCACCAGACAGGGAGAGACAGAGAGACAGAAAGCGAGAAATCACCCCCCCAGGGGAGATGGTCACGCTGTAGTCCCTTCTCCTCCATTCTCCTCTTGGGATCTTGGGCACGCATGCACACGTGCCCAACGTGAGTTTTTTAAGCCACCGGATCTGGGATGTGAACCGCGGTCAGCTACATGGGAGTCCAGCGACATAACCATTACACTAACTGCTGGTCCCTCTTATCATGACTTTTTTAAAAAAATGTTTTTAAATGCTATCATTTTAATTAGGAAGAAAAAAACAGTTACTAAATGTCATTTAGAACTTAGTAACCAAAAAAATAAGAACTTGTGCAAGCTTACTAGGTTTTGAATAACATTCATTAGGGATCATGAGAATTTGAGGGAGGGAAAGGAGCAAAAACCTTTGCTCTGACATCAAGGACTATGTAATCTATGAAAGAGCAAAATCTGACAAGTAAGCATAAAATAGAGTAATAGTTCACAGAAAGGATAAATTTTATATGCCTTGTTAGTCAAATGAGACAGTAAAGACGATCTATACTTGAAAAGAGGTACTAGAATTAGATGAAATCCGGAGACCAATGGCATAAAATTAGCAAAGCAACATGGGTGAAGTCAAATGTGACTTAAGAAAGGGTGTAAGATTTGTGTAATTGGAATTAAAAACACGTTTTGGGGAAGAAGTGGGGAAGAATTCAATCCATAAATTGGAATGAGATTGTGGCAAACCTTAAGACATTTTAGTGAACTGAAATATAAGCTACTTTAACTCCAGTTGAGTTTATTTTTGCAATCTCTATGCCACTCCACCTGTCCCACCAAAATATAAGTATATAACTGCCCACCCGGGCACTGACTTAGTAATTTCCTACCTATATTTACCCCCAAGTTCCCAATAGTTTCATCTTCGATTGCTATTTAACATCAGCCAGGATTCCAGACAGATACGAAGGCAGTTTCATAACCCTCATGGGGTGGAAGAGAAGGGGGCAGTACCCTTACAGGAGGTTTCCTTTCCTAGTACAGCATCCTCCTACTTGCTATCAAGTCCCCCATGCAGAGCAGCACCTACCCTGACCCTCAGTTCTTGCCTCCTAAAGAAAGGCAAGAGGTCCACTCGGTGTCGAGAGCTCAGACAGCATGAACCGTGGGTTTCATCAGCTTACCAGGTAAGAATGGAACCTGGTAAGCACAGCTCACCCGTAAATCTAGCCCATGGTTGTCAGGATCTCCTTGGAGTCTCTGTAAGTAGTACTCTGTACAGATAAAGGAGTTTTTCTTTCTCACATTTAGTGGGGAGTAGGGGACATGTTCTTCCAAAGGTAGAATAATGTGAACATAAAAGGCTGGACTCCAGTATAACTCGGCACCCTTCCTGCCAACACAGCAAGCCGCCGCTGTCAAATGTGCTGAGTCTCACATCAACAGTAGTAATTATGTGGGAAAAGGTGCTCCTTGTAGCTACTCTGGGCTGTCATAGTAAAAGATACTGGAAACTTGTGCACTGTTAGACGGTGAATTTGTCACTCTAAGTAGGACAATGCCTAATGGTGATAAAGAAAATGAAGCAAACACCTGACATTAAATCTCTTTTATGGTATTTTCATAGAAATTGGAGGAATAGCTACATAATCCCTAACCTCGGGAGGGAACATGAAAAGAAAAATATAGTCTTTAGTGACATGGACTTTCATAGCTGGATGAAATGTTCAGGATCATTAATAACAACTCCCTTTCCAGGTGAAGAAATTGAGACCTAGAAAAGTTAAGAGATTTGCCCCAAGCTCATATGGCATTTAGAAGCAGAGCACAACTATTTGTATAATGTCCCAAATGTCTCATTTTTTTTCCAGGGATGCCATATACTAATAACAACTAAGATTTGCAGTCCACAAAACAATAAGATATATATTATTATGCTTGATATTTACCGAAACCCTGGGGGTAGTATTACTATATCCTTTTCACAGACCCAAAACCCAAGGTTCAAAGAGATTAACTGGCATACCTAAATAGCTCCTGGAAAGGTTGGGCTCACCCCAACATGTTCGGCCCAAGAGACCAAGTCAGTTCCTAGTACTACACTGGTTATCTTCCAGGTAAGACCCAACAGAAGCTTCTTCACCATTTCCCCCGTTACACCTCTACTGGAGAATGTAGCTAATGGAGGCAGTCATTCAGCAACCATTTCATTCAACAAGCAAGTATGAAGTACCTACTGGGGGTGAGGCAATGATCTAGGTCACGGAGAGAGAGAGAGCAGAAAGAATAATAGACAAAGTCACAGCCCTCATGGAAGTCAGCAATAAACAAAACGTAACACTCAGGTTCAGTGGTAATAAGTATTATAAAAGAAAACGAAGTATGGTAAGAGAATAGAGATTGTTTGGGATAATGATTACTAGTTATCCAGCGGCTCCATCTACACCTATAAGCAATACCCCAACTGCTTAAATTCTTAGCGGTCCACAAGCTATGTTCAGTGTTTCCGATAAACAAATAAATAAATAAACAATAAAAGCATAAATTGAATATTTATTAAAAACCAGAGACTCCTTTAAAAAAAAATTAAGATAGGTTTGTCATCTGTGAAAGCTCTATCTAGAATTAATTATAAATGTCAGTTGGTAAAAAATGTCTTCAAAATGGGAATCCCAGGGTCAGCAGGTGGCATGGTGGTTAAGGGTGCTGGACTCGCATATGGCCGACTGCGGTTCAAGTCCCAGTTCAAGTTTGTCAGCTTGCTTTCTCACTTTCCCTCTCATTCTATCTCACTCTGTCCCTCTCTGGTCAAATTAAAATAAATAAGTAAGTAAATAAAGTTAAATAATTCTTTTTAAAAAGGGCACCCAATAATTTCTCAATAAATGAAAACTTCTTCATATACATATTAAAAAATGAATTTATAAAATCAGGGGTTAAAGGTCTAATTACATAAAGTAGTCATTAGCTATGATAAAGCTGTACTTCACCACTGCTCCCAGGACAAGCAGAGCAGATATTTTGGAGATAAGTTTCACCCTTTCATCATCCTGGCGGACTACTCTGAAAAGAATCTAGGCATGTTTTTATTAAAACTGGCTATGCTAACCCTGGGAAAACCTGAGTAACCATCAAAGTATATATCCATTATCACCTCCTAGAGCCATCCTCATTCACCTGACCATTTACCACTCCTCCACCAATATTTCCTCCCGAGCCAAAGTATCTCATGAAGGACTATAGGACCCATGGCCTATAGCTGTGGTTAAGGTCTCTCCACTTTCAAAACCTTCTTCTGAAAAAAATACTAGTTAAGAACCACTCGTGTTAAACATTGTATCATTTACTCCTGCAAATAACCTAAAGAAGTAAGCACTACCATTTTTATTTTGCATAAAGAATTTAAGGTTGATGGAGATTAAGTATGATGCTTGTGATCACATGGTCTCATTCTTCTTCCATTGTAACATGTGAGTGACCACCTAGATAATCAATTAAGTGAATGTAAAATGTATATTTTTACATGATATTTCAATACCTTTAAGACAATAATGGTCAGAAAAAAATATATATATATAAGCTTTACAAATTTCTTAGATATTTAATATCATGATGATAATACAACAGAGAAAAATATATGAGTTCTCACCCGTCTTCATGGCCCAGTCATGGTGGCATAGGCAGCAGGACACCTGCATGATACAGGAGCCACTATGGAAGGCCCTAAGTCATATCCCAGTTGCTCTGAACACATCAGATGTGCCCACACATGCACCCAGGATCCCTGTTGGCTGTAGGGCTGGAGGTGGGGTGGAGAGGGACAGAAGGTGGCTTGTGGCATTGAGAGACTCTGTCTCTCTAATGAAAGAAAAAAAAACCTTAAAAATAACTTATATTCTTTGTATAGCTGTATGTTTGTAGTTTATAATGATTTAACTTTGGTTTGTATGAAGAATAAAGGAGGTGTCAATCACTGCATGGGACTCTTTTCCTGAGAATATGATATTTATCTTTCCTCTAAAATTCAAAGTAGAGGCTATAACAGACATGTTTGTGGTTAAGTAAAGAAAAAAATAAAGATTATACTTAAAATATACAGCAAGTTAGAGATAATTAGATGCTGGTCAACAATATTTGACTAGGGATATGTTTTGATTTCTAATCTTATTAAATAGTTTAATAATTGTTAATAACAGTTCTGCCAATGCGCTTTCAGACCTCATTTAGTCCTCACAACTACAAGACAATAATTCTGACCCCCATTTTATAAATGAGGTAACTTGGGCTCAAAAAAGTAAAATGAATCACCAAGTGACAGGGTCAGCATTTGAACACACATGGGTCTCTCCTGAAGGCTTGTGCTCTTAAACACTCCAAGACTTTTTATGTGCCTGACTCCTATTACCAAAGCCTTACACAGAAGCTGACTTTATTCACTTCCAAGCAGTGCCAGGGGGTATCCAAGACTGAATTCAAACCAGTTTCTGTCCCAGATGAACAATATTAGACATTTCAGCAAAAGGCACTCTCAACAGAGAAATTCTT